CACGCTTTACCGCTATGGTAACTGAGGTAAGCTGCGGATGAAGGCGCTTACTCTTCGTCACAACCACTTATGCAGTAAACAAATGGCCTCAGCTTACCCCAACTTCCGGCGGTTAGCGACACAGGACTAGAAAATCTCCTACCGTTGATGCAGCAGATGCGACCCTCGGCGGGGCTGCTAAAGGTGTGCCTGAAAAGTGGCATTCCTTTTTTCTTCACACAGCCGTAGGTTGCTATGGTCTGAATTACAAGATGAAGGACCTAGTCGCCGTGTGTTTCGGTGTGATCCGACAGTAAAATTTATGAAGAACGCCCTATCCTCTACGAGGGGTGACTGCTACCCGGATTTCTTCTATGATGAGGGAAAATTGCGTGCCACCTGTTTTACGACGCCGGCTCAGCGGCGATGTACTCAGAGTATCCGAATTTGGCACAAATAGACGCCACATACCGGAGCAATAGGCAGGGGTGTGCATTGTACCACATTGTGGTAACTGACAAGCACGGGCATGCTCAGTCTGTGTTCTGTGTGTTTGTAAGCTTGGACGACGTCACTAGCGTGCGCTGGGTGTTGAGTAAATTTAAGGAGATGATGAGGTCTGCTACAGATAACTTACACACGGTGTTCATAGATAAGGATGCTCGGAAATTGAAAGCCTGGAAGAATGTTTTTCCCGGAAATAATGTTGCAATTCTCATATTCACATTTCACGTGCTGCAGGCTTTTAAGAGAAAAGTGCAGAGTGTCTATAGGAACGATAGGTCAGAGCAGGCCTTTGAGCAGTTCCGAAGAGCTGTTTATGCCAGGTCTTTCAAGTTTTTTAAGATGGTAAGTAATAGCTTGAGGGAAATCTTTCCTGAGCTATGACCGTACACTGTGGACAACTGATGGCCATGTAGACTACGGTGGGCCCATTACGCTTGGCGTAGTTTGTGACGTATGGCGACAACTCAACAAATAAGATTGAAAGTGTCAACCGCGTGTTAAAGCAGTGGTGTAAGCCGTATATGTCTCACCGACTGCGTGCATGACATTGTGCAGTTTCTGAAGTCAAAATCTGTTGACACTAATCGGTTGGTCATCGACGACGAGTACTGCCGCCGCAGCCAGTTCAAGGGCTTAAGGCCACACGTCCGTCGAATATGCCAAATGCTGACTGGGTACGCCTCAGATGTCGTACTATCCCACCTTTCTGAAAATGCCGATGTCCGGCTTTGCAGCAATGTGGCGGACACGTGTAGCTGCCAGGTTCATCGTAACTGGCAGCTGCCGTGTGTTCACATCGTCAATTATTTGGAGCAGCGTAGGGTCGACCCCTGTCCGACTCTTTCGAAGAACAGATGGGTATTCCGCGTTGGTGTATGTGGGAAGGCCGTCGCTGACGAGGATGTTGACCCGGGGGTCGTTACGCCCTTCCCGACAGACATTGTCGTTAGCGCAAAACAAAGGCCATTAACCGAAGCATACAAGTACAGCGTAGCTATGAGCCACGTGTAGCCTATCGTGGAGAAATTGAAGAGTTGCGGGAGTCGACGCTT